TGATGTTACTATTAATGGTCAGACCGTGTTCAGACTTCGCTCGGATCGCTCGAGCGATTGGATCGCGCGATCATATCGCTCGAGCGATCCAGTTGCAAAGTCGGAACGCTGTGTTGACACTCGCATTAGTTTCAGTCCTCTTTTGTTTTGACATGGATCTCCAATCAGAATAATAGCAGCATTTGGCCGTGTGTCCATTTACACAGTGACTAGACAGACCCGCGAGAGTGCGGCATTGCTCTTTTTTTGAAGGACCCATGGAAAGATTGTATTTTGACCTAGACGGGATACACTCAAACACTACAAATTTGGATACCTCATCTTGCGCGTGGTACCGGCATCCTTTTCAACTTCCCACCTTCCGGATATTTTCTCGCATATTGAGAGGCGCGGCCAAACTTCTTCTTATTGGTGTCCTCATTACTATTGCAGCATTTTCCTCAATGTGCAAAACAACTTTTTCCTTGTAGAATGTCTCGAGAGGTTATAGTAGGTTTCTTTCCGAATTTCCCTCTGAGAAAAGCTGCATTTTCTGTTTATTCTGAGAAAGCTTGGTCTGAATGGTAATTTGATTTTTGTCTTTATTGCTTGAGGCAAATCTCGCGTTCGTTTCATGTGCAGGCGCCTTCCTTGTACATGGATGTCCTGACTGCAAGCGTGCAGGATGTACTATTGTAAACACAGCTCGGAAATACGTGTGTACAGTGCCACGTGGTGGTGGGGTTGTTCCCCTTCTAGTCCTCTCCATTTGGGAAGGTGAGATTGAGGAGTTAAAGAGAAAGAGGAGGCACCAACAAGGGGAGCTCGCCCGACCACGCTCCTTTCTTCCCCTTCTTATGGACGTGCAGGCGCGGCTCAGCATATGGTTTTGTATGAGATATTTCGGCAGGGTTTTTCTGTCTTTTTCTTCTTTATTTTGCCTTATCTACATTTTGTTATTGGTATTTTGCATTAATTTCTATATCTTTATCTATATCTGTTCGTCGCAAACCCACCATTGTCGAACCCCGGGCCTGCCTTTGAGTCTTTCTGGCAGCAGCCGAGCCTTTGCTCTCTTAACATCAAAGACGGTGTGTTGTGGGTGACACAGTGCTACATTCTTGGCCTACATATGGAGGGTTAGCTGTACTCTGAACCTGCTCATCCCATCCACGTCTTTCATATCTTAATATGTTATCTTAATATAGACATCGGCTGGCCTTTGTGAAGAGATTCCAGAATCGCATTGCCCTCTCCAATATCACTACGATCTCGAATGAAATTTACAATACTCATCCCGAATAGAGATCGCCCAGTACTACATTTTGGTCCTTGTCGATAATGTGCTAGCTCAATGTCTGAACTACTTCAATAAGCTACGAAGTGTTCTTCCATAATTCCAAGACAGTAATTCTATACTATGGACTCAGGTGATGATGCCTCATGTGAAGCTATATTGGGAAAGCTTGTCGGATTGGAGAAAGAAATAGTAGATGCTGTGGTGGTCATCTTGAAAAGTTGCAGTGTAGGTGTTTCATTCATAGTATATTTTTCCAAAGAGGATACAGAAATTTCTTTTTTATTTTTCAGGTATTTCAATTTTCGCTCACCTCACCTGTGCTGAAACTCGTGTGTCAATATTTTGCAGCTGTTGGTGTCAGTACGGCGATAGAACGCTTTCATGAGTTCCATGATTTGATTCTAAGTAACATTGACAATGAATTCGCAAGGTATATAACACTATACAGAGCTCTCTTCAGGTTGTGTTAATAATTTTCAGTGACATTTTGAGCGTTCTGGGCGAGAAGAAAAGTAGGTGTCGAACATTTGGAGCGATTCGCTCGAAACGCTGGTGTTTTTCCTAAGACGCTTGGAGCGCTGAAAATGCTTGAAACGCCATAGCGCGCGAAACATTATTCCGGTAACTATACTTTCCTTTTCGCCGAGAACGCTCAGAATGCCGACGAAAGGTATGGCCGCAGCACTGAATTGGACTCTACCCTTTTCTGCACCCTCAAATGCAGTAATTTATTGCAGCAATTTCGCTTTTCTCATGGAAAAACTTATTACTTGTGTTCATGTCTTACGGCACGATAAGCTGCGTCAGGAGATATGCAACCACTTACCAGACACCATCACACTGTTGTGGAAGAACAAGAAGCGCGGTGAGAAGGCTGGCCTCTATTATTGTCGAAGTGCTATCATTATCCATTTTTTATGTAGTCGAAGCGTGTAGGATCGCAAAGTGTTTTGTACATCTATTGATAGTGTCTAAATGGTATCGTGACGAAGATCTGTCTAAGTTATGGCTCGAGAAGACTTACTCAACGGTGAACTCTCGTTTTCTTCAGCCTTTCTCATTGTAACAGTTGGAGAACATTGCCGAATTCTTTCCATTCGCAACGTGATCTACAGCAGCTTCAGATGTTATTAGCTTCAGGAAATGAAGAAGTGCCCATATATGTCGGCTTTGACAGTACTACTGGATCCTCAGGGTGCTGAGGGCATAAAGTTTGAGTTATCATCTTTAATGGAGCTACCATCGAGCGAAATCAAAGAGCTGTGTTTACGTTCACAGGTAAGGATTCATACCCTCTCAATCTGTTCCAACTGTTGCACTCTTGGGGAGTTTTATGTCCAGCAGGGAGGTGCTACTATAGCTGGTGAGAGCCACGTAGCAGCCCGACGAAGTTGTACTTTCGCCTTCCAAGGTTAAGCCCTAGAAGTGCTCAGATAACCTGGCCTTGTCTTAGTATGCGGAAAGACAAAATTCGGCGCACCGCGACATGCACCCCACCCTCAACTGCAGTAGTGGCTGCATTTGAGAAATGTCGCCACAAAAAACCTTTTTTCGCTTCTTAGTGTTGTCCTAACTAATAAAATCCGTTCTTTTATTTTAGGCGGTCGATCTCTTTTTAACATACCTCCCATCATATTATACTTGCTGCAGCCACAAACTACTGCGGGTGCTCATTGAATTCATTATTCTGCATTATATCAGAGCGGATAATGTAAGTTTGAACCAAGTCAAAGACTTGATTTTATCTCACCTCGGTCACAGTTGATCCAGATCTGCTCAAGGATTTTGGCGTGCAGTTTTAAAAATTAGCTAGCAGTGTTCGTACTCGACGATGTAGCTTTTTGTCCCTATCTTCCCATCCTATTCAGCTTTCAACAAGTTTATAAGGTGTCATTTATAGTTCTCAAGAAAAAGAACTGTAACTTACCTGCTTATCCTTCCCTTTCAATGTGCGAAATAGGGCGGTCTCAAACTGTAGAAATGTACCACTTCCCCTACTCGAAAATACGAGAAGATGAAGGAAGGAGTTGTGACATCTGGATGTTCTTTACGTTTCCTCTATCTTTACGGGCTCTTTATGGCGTCGAGCGCGCGTTATGGCTCTGTACGCCTATATAGTCACACTTGCTACTTCTCTGCACCCTCTCACAGCCTTGGGAGAGTTTTTCTTAGCCATGATTTTTGATCTTCCTCGCTACGTGCGTGCTCTGCGTTACACCCCCCCCCCTGTTTCGCTTTTTTTCGCTTTCGCTTCGACCCCAGTTTCTATGGGCTGGGGGAGGGCAGTGAAGTTTGGAGTGGTATGCAGGCAAAGGGAGAGGCTCACTCTGGAGAAGGAACTTCTGAGGACTCGCAGTGACACCACCATTTCACTCATCCAGATGATGGATCGTGCTCTCATTTATTGTTGAGGCACTATGATTCTCTGAAGCTCACTCCGGCAGTGTGTCAACACATTCGCTGCGAGGCCTTATCGTCGTAGTCTCGCAGCGAAGATGTTGACAACTTGCCAATATGCATAGTATACGACGTGATCGAATAAAAGGCGAAGATTCAATGAATCTCAAGCTCCTCCCGCTACATTTCTGCGCACTTTCGGGTGGTGCATATGATAAACTTCTGGAGGTACGATCC